TTTTAGCACTGAAGATGTTACCTAGCCAGGTAATGAAACATTTGCAAGAAAAGAACCAAGCTCAGAGAATCCCAAGGACTCCAACCCTGACCTACACATATTCACCTCTGTAGCTAAATTTAAGTTAAATACACAATGATTCGAGTTAAATACACAATACTATTTATACAGTATTGTACAATAATACTGTTCTGGCTTACGTGCAAATTCGATTTAAAGACAGACCTTGGGAATGGACCTCGTTCTTAAACTGGGGACTACCTGTATATCAAGTATAATTATGAGCATGCAAATGAAAAACCCTATTCCTGATCTGGACTGCATAAATGGGGAAAAGAAATCTGTTTCAAACAGATAGTAACTAATTTCAACTTAAATTACATTAATCGATTTCTTATTTTAATTTCTGAGGAATTAGTACACAATCATTCCTAAAAAGTCACTGCTCATATTTTTATACCCATAAGGTAGACTAAAAGAAAGATTTTTTGCAAAGTACAGTACTTTATATAAACACCTCTTAAATCTTAATAAGCTTGACATATCCAAATATTTATAAGAACTATTTGAGTTATATGGCCACTCATCTTGTAGAACACAACTCTGGGCAACTCACAACAATAATAAGACCAGAAACAAAAAAATCAGGTGCCTGATCCACAATCAATTTCTATGGTTCCCTATAATAAGGCTAGACCACTCATTTTGATGTGGTTTGTTTTAGTGTTTCTGTTGTGACTTAATAATCATTTGTGAAATGAAGGATTTGTGTCCTTGTGAGCAATGAATTGTTTTATATATAATCTTAATAGCAGAAACAGTGCTTTACTAGGATAGTGAATATATCTGAAGCTGACTGCCAAACAACCTTCAATGATAAAATCTCTTTGACCATGTGCTAGTCTTAAATCATAAGTCACGTTATTGTGGTTAATGTGTTTTCAGAAGTATTTTGTTGTGTAGCATAAGTTGCTGTGCGGTCTGGCATTCAGAGAGCCAAACAACCTTCAATGATAAAATCTCTTTGACCATGTGCTAGTCTTAAATCATAAGTCACGTTATTGTGGTTAATGTGTTTTCAGAAGTATTTTGTTGTGTAGCATAAGTTGCTGTGCGGTCTGGCATTCAGAGACTTCCCTGTCCCTAGATATTTTCACCATTTACCTTTCTGTTACTGAGAATGTTAAAAGTGAACATTTTGTTCACTCAGAGTAAAATTGCTGGATTCTTTCATGGTAGTCCAGCAAACAGTTGTCTCTTTGTGATAAATCGCTTTGTGTGGTCAGGACTAACCGTGTTTCTGAAGTCAGTGAATAAGAATTTGAGGGAAGAGTTCCGAACCCAATACTTGGGTTCTGCCAAACTGTTCTCAGAAGGTTTCAGGTCACTCAAGTCCAAAGCTTTGGCTGCAGCAGACCCTCCCTTGGATAAAGGCATTTGGTGCAAGATTCTTGATAATTTCCCAAGTATTTTATTTCTTAATAATTACATGGTCTTACAAAATAATTATTGATGCTTACAGGGGCAAAGAAATGTTAAATTAAAATAAACTGACCTCTTTTTATTTCTGTTGCTAATCCTTTTTATTTTCCTTGCTTTTATAGATGCAAAGGGCCTGGACTTGAAGGCTGCCCTAATGGGTAATTATTGCTAACTAATGTCAAGTTACAGATGTCCATTTCTAGCTGTGTCCAATTAAGCCAAGAACTTTGTGGCAAAGCAAAACAGATTTTAATAAAATAAATATGTGTACAGGAATGGTGCCTCTTTAGTTGTAGCTTCAGAAAACAGACCCAGATCCACTAACAGTGTTAGTTTATATAGGGTTACTTCATTTTTTAAAAAATAAGATTAGTCAATAATGAAGAGATAATACATTCATTGTAATCCAATCACAGCATAAAAAGATTAGCCAATAGGAAAGAGATAATTAATTCAATCATATTAAAAATCAACCAACTGATAAAAATGTTGCCTTAAGCTGTACCTGCTCCTTAGGCCCTAACCACATAATCACATCTTTGTTTTGTACAACATTGACTTTCCTAATGTCTAACTATAGAAAATTCCACAATACTATATGAAGTGAGCTTATTTTTGTCTCCCTGCATGCACATATCAGTATATAGTTACATTTAGAGAGTATCATTATCTGAATAGATGTACTGGTTGTCAGATTCAGCCTAGAAAGGACACACTGCTAGCGCAGAGCCAGCGGTCAGTTTCACCGCCTCAGGCAACAGGTGATCAGGGCAAGGAAACAATGTAACCGCAAGTTAACTACCGACAGGGAGCGGGCAGTTAACTCGCAGCAGCAGGGAGCCAATTAGAAGTGACAACACTGTAGCGCAGCTGGCGCCCCAGGTGCCCCGGGCAACTCAGGCTTATGATACACCGGGAGCGCAGCAATCCAGAGGCAATCAGCAGACAATTCAAAACCAGATTAAAACAGCCACTCCAACTCACCATGAGAAAAGCTCAAGGAATGCAAGGGCAAGGCAGACAAAGGGTGCCCCGGGCAACTCAGGCTTATGATACACCCGGAGCGCAGCAATCCAGAGGCAATCAGCAGACAATTCAAAACCAGATTAAAACAGCCACTCCAACTCACCATGAGAAAAGCTCAAGGAATGCAAGGGCAAGGCAGACAAAGGAAGAAGATCAAAACACAATCGAAACAGGCTGAATCTGCCATCAAGGCGAGGGGAAGTAAGATTGCAATGGACAGATGGGTAGCCCAGGGCAAGGGCAAGGGGCAGAATCGAGGGGTAACTACGGGTCAAGAGGGGAACCCTATAAAATGATTGTAAGAAACTGTGCCAAGCCTATCCTGGCTTTGTCTGTAACCACTACACATTACACCTGAATAAACTAGCTTTCATCCGAGCCTGTGTCTCACGAGGTTTCTGTTCAGAGCCAAATGCAGCAAACCTTACATTGATAGGTATAGATGATATAACTTTCTTTTTATGTTTGGCAAATATTATGAGGATGCATATCAAAACATAATTTTATGGTCATAATTTCACAGAGATGACACTGAACTTCACAAAAAGTACATGTCCTATGTCTGGACTTCTGTCAGTAGTCTAGGCCAAGACACCAAAATCAAGAATACTAATACTACCGTCATTGTAAGGTTACAGTAACAGAAACTTCAAATCTGAAAGTGCTTCTCCACTCCCTTCCCTTTACCTTCCAGAGAACTGAGGCAGGGGGCAATTCTGAGGTATTTTCTCCACACCCATTCTTGCTTTGGACTTTTCTCTTATCAGAGTTTTGTGTAGGCTGTAGCTCTTCCTCCTGTCCCTCAGGGTTATTCTCACACCCCATTACAACTTCACTGCTTCAGACTGCATGTTTCTTTATACTAAATTATATTTTATTCCCTTCTCTTTTAAAAGCATGCTCTAAATGCTCATGTAACTGGCTTTATCACTAATATAAAACTCTTTTTGTCTTCTAGGTCTAGAGTCCCGTCCATTGCAGCTGGAGTCGTTGGAAGCATTCTTTGCTTGGTTGTTATAGCACTGGGTATTGGCCTTTTTGTGCGTAGGCGGCGGATAGTTAGAAAACGTACTTTGCGCAGGCTGCTGCAAGAAAGAGAGGTAAGCATTACTAATGATTCAGAAAAGAACTGACTAGGATGGACTCACAGTGTACTAGCAACTCTGTGACTTTCTAAGTTTTCTGTTATTCCATATTTGTTGAATAGGAATCACTACCTTTCTCTCTGGGGAGGCACCACATTCTTCAAGCTCTCACAAAGCAATATATTATTTCTACATAATTGCATCTCTTCCTAATGGTATTAGAGCTTTTATAATATTTATAAGGTCATGATGGTACTTCTGATGATAAAGAAACTGATTATTGACACAGGGTTTGTTTCTTAGCAGTATTTTGCCAAGTAATTCGTTATGGATTTATAATACTATAACACAAATAGGCTTGAATCACCTGTTTCGTATTTTTCAAAAACCATCCTGCCTTGTACACTGTTATGGTTAAAAAGAAATTGTCTCTTCTTAAGCCATGTCCTTTTTTTATGTATTCAATAGCTTGTTGAACCTTTGACACCAAGTGGGGAGGCACCAAACCAAGCACTTCTGAGAATCCTAAAAGAAACAGAATTTAAAAAAGTCAAAGTCCTTGGCTCTGGAGCCTTTGGTACTGTTTATAAGGTAAATTACCATCTTTTTCTAAATATATATGTATATGTGTGTGTGTGTATATACAGTATATATAGAGAGAAAATCAGTTCTATATAAACTTGCTAGGAATTAAGTCCCCCTGGTGACAGTAATCCATAGTAAATGTGCATAGAATCATGCTGTTACACACCCAATTATGATACGATTTTTAAGATATATATTTATATTTATTGTCTTACTTAAATACCATACCATTCATCCAGAAACCATGTAATTTATACTTACCATAATTGTTGGTGGATGTATTGAAGTCTGTCTATAATCTATTTTACACGCCAATCTTGGTCTCTATTTCTATGTTAAACTTACCCATTTTGATTTTTTTTTTTTTAAACAGGGGCTCTGGATTCCAGAAGGAGAAAAAGTTAAAATTCCTGTAGCTATTAAGGAACTGAGAGAGGCCACATCACCCAAAGCTAACAAAGAAATTCTTGATGTGAGTTTTCTTTTTCTTTGTGTTTTGAAGATTTGAAATATTGGCTGTAGGGATTTTGTAGCATGGAGACAAACATTAAGGCATTGTTGGTGAAGGCAAAGTATCTATGTAATTGCAATATTTCTTGTAATAGATTTTTATCCTCAACAGGTTAGGCAGAGGAACTATTTTTGCACTTTTCAAATAACTATTTAATTTGTTCACTCTGTAAATTTTTGGCAAATTTTCTGAATATGAACTGTAACTTACAGAAAAAAAAAGCAAAAGCACAATTAGGTGGGCAAAATTGGGAATGAGAATAGAAAAGATTAATTTTTTTCAAACAGGTAGTTTCTGCTGAATATGTAATGCTTTCCTTCCTTTATCTTCTATATGTAATCATCAAATGTTATCAACTATTATGAACATACCTCCATGCATAGTCAACATACTCTCCCTTTTCAGAGTAAGCAAAGTTATGCAAAATGCAGAAAATGAGTAAGAAATAATAAGCTAAAAGAATTAAAGGTATGAGTTAAAAAGGAAATCTAACTAAACCTTGTCTATACCAGCATAATTCACTATACCACTCCATACCTTCCTTCCACTGCAAGTCATCCTTGGTTCCACCACTTCCATACATCTATTCATGTAGTGACTTTTGTTATTTAAACCTCTCACCTCTTTCTGAGGATCTTGTCAACTCTGTTCAAGCATAACTTTCTCAGTCTTCCTCTTCCTCTCAACAGATTTATTCTTCCTTCATATATTTATTCTCTCACTCTTCCTTCTCCATTGCTGAATAGAGCAACAGGCTTTAGTTGTCCTATTATATACGCCTTAAGAGTGTTTGCATGATGTAGGTATTAACAATAATTCAATCCATTCTCCAGTCACAATTCCATTTGGCTTTATTAGGATAGAATGAATTCAGAAGATTTGCTGCCAAATACCAAACATACTTGCAGTAGGTCATGGCTTACCTTAGAGATTCCAAGCTACAGTTTAAAACAGAAACTTAATCTAATTTCTCAAGGCATCTTAAAAGTGCATGACTGCACAGTGGCTTCAGCATTCTTTCTTCAAGGGGTTGATAACTGTTTGTTTTTACACTATCAAATTTATTAGGCTCTGTCAAATACTGGAACAGCTCCATATTCTATATGGCTGATATGTGACACAGCCCATGCAGTCCAAATTGCTAGTTGGGCAGAAGTCAACCTAATGTTTGCAAAAGTTGACTTGGAGCTTTCAGACAATTTGGGGGAATGTTGTCATAGCTAAAAATTAATAAAATAATTAATGAAATATGGGTCTGTCATAACAGGAAGCAAAGAAGCATATGTTTATGATTCTGGATTTATTACAGAAGAATCAAAAGTGTGCAGACTAAGAAAGAACTGCTTAAAAAGCTGCTTACAGAAGCATTTAGAATATACAGCATGTTTTACCCACCCACATAATGCATTTCATTTTTTAATATTCTGGATCCTCCCATTGAAACCCCTCAATCTTTCCTTTATGAACAAAATGCTATCTGAGGAATGAAAGTTGTTTTGCCTTGTGCTGTTCTTTCTTCGGTTTGGGCCATATTCTGATCTGGCAGTATCATGCTACAGAGAGACCTGCAGCACGTGCCATAGTTGCTAAAGAGACACTGCTGAAAACTGATTCTTCTGGCCATGTGCATCAGATGTAATGTGCGGGGGTGTGCAGATCCATCATTCTCCAAATCAGCATGTTTTCTGCAATTGCAGAGAAAAGCACAATTATATAATAATGAGTACTTCACTATATTATAACTTAGATATTATTTGATTGGGCTATGGGAAGCCATTTGTGGCCACTTCCTATAAAGGACTCAAAGTGACTAAATCAAAAGAAGAGACTGAGGTGTCCTCAGCAATAGTCATTGGCCTCCAAGGGGCAGGCACAACTGAGCAATTGAAGCTCCTCCCTTTTTTATGAGCATGCACTGGCGGGGCTCTCATCACCCAGTTTGAAGCCAGTGACCTTTGTTGTGAAACCCCTGAGAAGAGATGAAATTTAGTTTATTGGGGCTAATTATTGTTATGATTTCTCCCAACATTACCTTTATTAGGCAGTGACAATTGCCATAATGTAATATTTCCTAACAGTAAGTGTGAACATACATATTTTCATCTTCCCTCCCGTTCTCGTTTCTCATTTGTATAATGCCTATTACATGGTAATCATGATATTTATAGTCTAATTTACAATCTTGAAAAAGGTAGTGGCAAATTACTTCCTTATGTTTTATGTTATATATTTTTGTTTGTTAGTTGTCAGGAATTTTAGCATATTACAGCAGTGAATGGACAGAAAAGCAATTTATAAATACATTAAAATATGCATTGGAGCCATTAATTAAACAAAAAAATAAGAAAGTGTTATACCGGTATAACAAATCACAGACAGCATGGCTGTATTTTACTTTTCTTTTAATTTTATTGTACCTTACTACAATTAAGCTGCTTTATCTTTGTCTCAATATTCAGCCCTTTAAGACACTCAAAATGCTTACAACAAAATCTGGATTTTCTATTGCCAGTTTAATAAATGAGCATGTTCATATATTTAGAATTCATTCATTGCCTTCTTAAATTATAAAAATCTTTCTTTTAAGAGCTGATTTGTGTTTTATACAGAATGAAATTGTGATGGTAATTTGTACTTTACAATTATACATAGTCAAGAGTTGTCATTTGGATATGTGTAGATACTTTTTTAGATCAAGTACATTAGAGAGGAGAAGAAATCCATTGCCTTCTTCCTGATGGACTTATATGCTGTATGCAATGAGCTTTTTATATGAGAGAAAATTTTTAAATGTGACTATCCCATGTTGAAGTGTTACATGTGGCAGTTCTAGCCCTCAAATTAATTCTCATTCCACACAGAGTTTAGAATGATTCTGGGTCAGATTAATACTGCCATTTTTTATATCCTAGTATTGTAACATCCTCCATAATAGGTATGTATGTATGCATGTATGTGTATGTATGTGTGTGTGTGTATATATATATATATTTCTCTCTCTTTTGATTAGGAAGCATATGTGATGGCAAGCGTCGACAATCCCCATGTGTGCCGTTTGCTCGGAATTTGCCTCACATCGACTGTCCAGCTCATCACCCAGCTTATGCCTTATGGCTGCCTTCTTGACTATGTCAGAGAACACAAAGATAACATTGGATCCCAGTACCTTCTCAACTGGTGTGTGCAGATTGCAAAGGTATATTAACAGCAAACTCCATCTAGTTGTTTGAAAATGTCTAGAACAATAGACCTAAATTCAGATTTTTCACTCTGACCTAACTCAGACTTAGCTGATGCCTACTAGCACTTCTTGATTTTTGGTTCCTGCATGTTGTATTACAAATTGCCATGTAACCCTGGATGTGTTTTAAAATAATCTAGTTCTAGAAGATGGACTACTGCTTTATGTCTGTTTTACCTTTACAGTGAAATCCATGATAAGCAAGTCTTATGGTTCATGAAATTTGTAAAACTTACCATTGCTTATCATGAAACTGTAGAAAATTCCATTATTGCCAGCTCACAAACACGAAAACAAATCCCAAAGCTAGTCTTCCACAAAGTTCATACATTTATTTGCTTCCCATAGCTTTGAATTAATAAATTGTATTTTTAACAAGCAGATCTTTAGTTTTCTGAAAACCGGAATGTTTCTCACTACTAAATTATCTCAGGAGAAGCATATATAGAGAGAGATACAAATTCTCTTAGGAGGGAAGATTATAAACTTCCTGAATTAAAAAAAAATGGTAGTTTCAAGATGGGAGTTCTACAAAAGTATCTTCATGGGAAATAGACAATAGATTTCAAAAAGAAATAAAGAGCAGTCCCATGGGTGCAACTAAAACATGTCATATACCACTCCCATCTGTTGGCTTCCTGTTCTGAGCACCGCCAGTTTTGCGAAGGCAAGATGTGAGAGAATATAGAAAAATCATGAACAACCCACTTCTTCCAGTGCATGCTGACCTTCCCTACTTATCACTTGGAAGGCTTACATCTAGGAAGCCTGAGCAGTCCCATGGGTGCAACTAAAACATGTCATATACCACTCCCATCTGTTGGCTTCCTGTTCTGAGCACCGCCAGTTTTGCGAAGGCAAGATGTGAGAGAATATAGAAAAATCATGAACAACCCACTTCTTCCAGTGCATGCTGACCTTCCCTACTTATCACTTGGAAGGCTTACATCTAGGAAGCCTCCATTGGTACTTGCGCAAACATCTGCATAACAACTTCAACATTGACTCCCAGTGGAAAGTTAAATGGGTTGATGAACGCTCAAGTACAGGAAGACATATAGATGACTCTACGCAAAAGGTGCCAGGTTTTGATCTATCTCACCAGCAATGGACGACCTTGAACAGGATTCGCACCTTACATGGCATCTGCCAGGATTCACTGCATAAATGGGGTATCTCATCGTTACCTTAGTGTGACTGCAGGGCTCCACGTCAAACTATAGACCACACTGTGACCAGCTGTAAGCTGAGGGCATATAATGGCCCAATATCTGATTTTTTAATATAAATGATGCTGCACTTCAGTGGTTAGATGGCCTAGGCATTGGTATTTGAATTTAGATCTTTTTAATATTCATATTTTAAAGTGCTTTTAACTTAGGTTAAATATTAGTATTTAATGTAAGTCTATGTATGAGATGCCATACACTAAATAAATAAATAAATGTCATATACCTCCTATACATTTGAAATCTAGTGCTTTACAATTATTTAAATTAAGTCCTTTGGTGCTCTCAATATTAGAACAAATGAAAATACTTGCAACCAGATGTTATCCAGCTGTATTCTAGCACAAAGTGTGTATGTGTTCAACTGTAGGAAATGCAGCTGGATTAATAAACTAGAATATTCAAACTTGACTGATGAAATTCTCAAGTTGTTTATGTGACTTGCTTGAGAGTAACAGCTAATCAAAGCTATATTTATTTAATAAAAGAAGCTTTTATGGCTTTCTTCCAGTTTACTTGGGTAATTTGGCAACACTGCAAGCTCTTAATTCTACTTTAATAGACGTCATGATCCAAGGTTAATGGATAAAGAATGGGGGTGAATACTTGGGAGGAAAACATTTCCACAATGCTGCATCATCATTTCACCAATAAAAACACTTAGATTGTTTTATTCCTGTTAGAATGAAATAGGTTTTGTCTTTCAAGGACCCTATATTCATGATCAAATAAGAATTCAGTGTTTCATTATCTCCGTACTAAAAACTGTAGGCAAGAGGATTTCTGGTTGGTGGAACCATCACTGATATAGTATATTTTGATAGTAATTCATATGTTTGATTTCAGTTCAAACTGCATAAGAGGAGGTTATGTATCTTCATAGCTCCTGTTCAGCCCAAAGGTGCAACACTGCACTGTCCCCAACCATGGTACTTAAATTAATCCCTTGGTTATATTGATCTATCCATCTTCCAGAGGCTGGATTGAAAGAGGATATATATATATAGATGGGTTGGATCCAGACTTAGATGTGTTTTAGCAATAATGAAACCAGTGAGAAAAGATAACCATAATTATTTAAATCCTATTGATTTAAATTGAATTTTAAAATTACTTTTTTTTTTTGTATTCAACCCAAAGATCTTTATGCCAAATCCAAAGTCAGTTTTGGGGATTAAACTGATAACATTTCTGCATGGAATTATTGCTCTTTAAAATAGATTAACATCTTAATTACCATGTTGAGAATAGTGGTTGAGTGGATCTGTGCAGACTGTAGTATGTTGGAGAATATTCCTGTGATTGCTTCTTCATTATCTGTTCATACTCATTTATAACATATCTGCCAGAAGTAAATAAGGTTTCTGTTAATAAATTGAGCAAGAGCCTATGCCATAAAAAATCTCATGGTTTTCTTTAATCCATGTCTCATTATTAAACTGTGGGCCCCTTAGAAAGTCATGAGCAACTTAGGGGGTTGGCACAATTTTTTAAAAAGACTGATCAGACTTCTGTAGACAAAATATAAGATCTGTAAACAAATGCTCTAGCCTTTGCTTTCCATTTTGTCCATGCAACCCAGCTGGAGGCTTGCCCAGGCAAAGACCAACCTGTGACAGTGCCCTCACGATGGCTATGGAGGCAAAGTAGTAGTACTATCAAAACTCACTGTAGGCTTTTTAAAATTTATTTTAATTAATGAATCAATCAATCAATTAATCTATTGTATTTATATAGCCACCCATCTCACATAAAAGTGATTCTGGGTAGCATATAACAATTAAAAAAGAACAAATACATAAAAAACAATTACAAAATACAAGTTACAAAAAATAACTATGAAAGCACACAAAACAGGAGGGGGTAAGATTAATAAGGGAGCCATTGCAAAATCTCCCCAGTCCCCTGGGATCCCCAGGCCTGATCACAGAGCCAGGTCTTCAGGGACATGCACGATGTTGAGAGGGATAGAGCTTCATTTTGCCTGCACAAGCCCACAGTCAGGAGTTGTAGTTTCACAGAGTTTGAGAATTTCTGTGGTATATAAATTAAACTTTAATTATTAAAAGCAGATAACAATAACAGATTTCTGAGGCCCACTTGATGGAACACTGGAGGTTCCAAAGTTCATTTTCCAAAAACCTTCTGCATTGTCATATCTTGATCCTGCCTTTTGCTTTAGGCTGCTGGCTTGATAGGTCCTTCTGCCACCATCTTCCACAGGGCACCTCAGCTAGAGTCCCTCTCCTAGCCCCAGTGTGTGAGAGAGATTGTGCTCTCCAATCCTGTACTACCATTCTGGAGATTAAAAGGTCAAAATGTAAACATTGAAATAATTTCAACACTGCTACATTCTGGCCATGTAGTACAGAAGTGTGATACCTACAGGATTCAGGTCTTCCTTTTTCATTTGGAAGATTAACCAATCTCATTAGAGATAAACAAAATCATACTTTTTTTTAAAAAAAAGAAATAATACAGTATAAAAGTAATAATCAGTATGGAAGAAGATCAATTACAGAGATGCTCAGATCTCAGTTGTACAGCAGTTTACAAATTATTTTAAAAAGAAAAACTCCAAAGAAAATACATTGGAATGGTGATGTTCTGCTATAAATGAAGTACTCCCTGCCAGAATCTTCAAAAAGTTAATGGAAATCACAATCACAAGAAGATTGTAAAGAAAAAATTATGTATTACTGACCATAGCTTAAAATATGAATGAAGGCTGAAATTATACCCAACTCCCTAACTTTTAGAGAGAGAAAAAAAAAAAGAATATGAGACTTAGCACAAAATAGCAAACTGAAATTTTAAAAACCTAGCACAAATTCTTGGCTACGTTAATTTGCTTATTTCTCCAGAAATAGCAGATTCCTGAAACATATGCTTTTATGGTTCAGTTGCCTGGAGTTCTCCAGCTTATTAGAGATTCCAGAATGTTAATCAAAAGCTATTGAGGAGATGAAAAACTCATGTGGTTTTCAGCCTCAGATTTCTGTCCTTTGTTTTAAAACCACCAGAATGCAGGATATGAAGGAGCAGAGCAGAGTGTGTACATGACCAGGAGCCAATTCTTGCCCAGCCACAGAATTAGTGAAATAATTAGTTTTACTTATGAGGAGAATCACATAAATTCATTTATCATTTTAAGGCTCATGGCACAGCAAAATTAACCCAACATTTTACCAGATACCTTTATCTCATTTTGCTAGAATTTTTCCTTGCAAGGTTTCAACATAAGAAATAGAGTCATCTATGAAATTCAAAGTCTATTTTAATGAAATGCTATTTCAGTATATTTTGGAGTTGTCTTTGTAACGATCTATATGTAGGCAGTACCTGTTAATATAATCTTGCTCTGCCCATTGCAGTCTTTTTTCCACTATTGCTGAAAAAGCAACAGCATAATTGTCATTGCCTCAATATTCTGTAAATACAGAATTAGTTTTCTTAATATTTTCTGCAGTGTGTCTATAGATGTTAGATGGTAGAATAAGATTTTCTAACTGTTAACATGTTTAGGGAATGAATTACTTAGAAGAACGTCGTTTGGTACACCGTGATTTGGCTGCCAGAAATGTCCTTGTTAAGACTCCCCAGCATGTGAAGATCACAGACTTTGGATTGGCAAAATTACTTGGTGCAGAAGAGAAGGAGTACCATGCCGAAGGAGGCAAAGTAAGAGTGGTTATTTATTCCTTCCTCCTGGTTTGCTTCATAGTACATTGAGTTTTCAGATACCTAAGTCCCTCTGGGTGGGGTGGGGGGGTGGAGTCTATATTAACAAAGGAATGATATACAACCTATCCAGATTGGGTCTAGCTATGAATTTATCTACATTTTATTTGTTTGTTTGTTTGATTGATTCATTTTTTCGTTAGTTGGTTGGCTGGTTGGCTTACATATCCTGCCATCTCAGAAGACTGACTCTGGGCAGCTTTCAACATTTAAAAAAAGTACAAACATAAGATAAAACATAGATAACAGCCAAGGAGCCAAATCAATCTAGCCAAATAACAATCACATCACGGACTCTAACAATCTGACCCCCAAGCCCAGGAACACATCTGTGTCTTGAGGGCCTTCCAAAAGCCAGCAGGGTTGAGGCCAATCTAATCTTCAGGGGAAAGGCATTCCAAAGGGCAAGTGCAGCAACAGAAAAGGGCTTCCTGGGTCCCGCGAGATGACATTTTTTTGACTGACTGCTGGATCTAATGGGATGTGTAAAAACAACTAGGAAGAGGCAGCAGTCCAACAAATAACCTGGCCCAATGCCATAAACAGCTTTATAGGTGACAACCAGTGCCTGTAGAATTGTACCCAGAAGCACACTGGAAGCCAGTGCAGTACACTGAGCAGAGATGTAACATGCACACACGAAGATGCATTCCCAGACAGCCCCTGAAAAAGGCATTGCTTCACCCTGAGAATAAGACAAAAATCACACTGGAATTTTAAACTGAGAAACACAGCATCATCTGTGACCGTCTCTACCAAAATAGTTTTACAATTCTCAATTGTAGCTACCTTGAGTAAAAATACGTAAGAGCATTTTGATGGCAATGCTTCTTTCAACTTTTCATATTTTGAGCAGCAGTTCTAAGCTACGTAACTATCATACATGAATTGCAGGCTACCTGCAATGATATGTATAATATAAATAGATGCAAGCATTCACACATACTGTCATACTTTTTAAAATAATGAACTCTGACTCTCATTCTCTTGCATTGGTTCCAACCTCTTTCTAGGTTCCAATTAAGTGGATGGCTTTGGAGTCAATTCTGCACCGCATTTATACTCACCAGAGTGATGTTTGGAGTTTTGGTAAGTGTGAAAGACATGCTCAGCTGATTCTAAATTGGTCACTGAGCTGATTTGCAAAGCCTTGTTCTATAACCTCCTCAAAGTGCCCTTTCTTATTGTCATGATTATAACAACAATTTGAATAGCAGATAGACAGAACCTAATTATCATGAACACATCAATCAGTGGGCTACATATCTGGATTGCAAAATCCAGAAGACCATTAGATGGCAGGAAAGAATTAGAGATTTTACAGCCCAAATATAGTAGCCCTGATCTGATACCGCAAAATTGCTTTCCCCTCCTTCCCTCCAAATAGCAGTTTTCTTACCTTTTAAATTATAAGGATAGCCTCATAGAGGCAAAGGATTTGTTCTTTGGGAGCAATAAACCTGACTTATGCTATGTCTGGTTGAAGAGGCAGGGGGGAAATTTCATGAATTGCATCTCCCCAAAGAACCCTTAATGCACATAAAATTAATACAATACATGGTTTTTAATGGAAACAAAACTAGGATCTTTCTGTCAAACATCTATTATTCAGAGTGGATTTTTTTGTATGAGGAAGCATTCAGTTATGTAGCTTCTTGGATATTGCCTGTGCATACATATATCATCTAAATGAGAACAAAGTCTTATTGTATTTGTCCAAACCTTTTGGAATAGACAGTAAATAACATGCAAACCAGAATAAGCCATTGAGACTCTGGCATGTGCTAGAAAAGGGAGGAAGTTTAACAATCAGTCCACAATCATGGTTTTGTTATGTACTTCTCTAAGCAAGGCTTAAATAACATAAGTAGTAAGATGAAACTATGGTCTTTACCCACATATCTGTATTATTTTACAAAAGGAATATAGCGGTGAAGGCATTTTTATCTGATTGCAAAGGTATATGTGTAGCAATTAAAATGTTGGACTGGAATCCAGGTTTAACTCCCTATCCAAATATACTGTTCAGTGGGTGTTTTTAAGCCTATCAGTTGTCTCTCAAACTTGGACCACAAGCTCAGTGATCAAATAAGCAAATGCTACTTAGCTAGAGAAAGTACAGGCTTGAGAGTTTGAAATTGTGTTGCTCGGTGAAGCAGAATCCAGCCATCAATTTCTTATAAGCTTTTCAATGTTTATATGGATATTTTCCTCCAAAGTTTTTGATTATTGAAAGTCCAGGACTATCTGTTGCTAACCATCTCCAAATCCATAAAAAACAGCCTATATCATATATTGCATAGGCAATAACAAGGCAAAAAAGAAGAGTTAGGCTGTATGTGCCAGTTCAAAATACTGTCAAGCTGCTATTGGTTCATTAAATTAAAATCCTACCACTGTTCAAAAATTGTGTTAGTTTATTATTTTACTTTAAGAAAAAAATGTTCTACCTACATTTATCAAAAAAAAAAATGTATTGGAAGCAGGTATTAACAGTGATGCTTTAAAGAATTTGAATGGTGCTGGAAACAGTGTTTACTTTTGTAAAATGTAACTTTAGTAAATAATTCCATTCCTTGGAAGAAGTGTATTCCTCTATTATTATCCGAGAAAAAACAAGGGATAATGAGCCCTTAGTACTTGAAACCATCAATAATGACTCCAATTCACTGAAAGTTGTTCCTTTACCAAATAATGAAGTTCTTACATGCTGTTTAGTATCTGGCTTTCTAGTTTTACTGGATGAGCCTTTGTTATACTCTGACATTTCAGGTGTCACTGTTTGGGAATTAATGACATTTGGATCTAAACCGTATGATGGTATTCCAGCCAGTGAAATTTCCTCTGTCTTGGAGAAAGGAGAGCGGTTGCCTCAGCCTCCCATATGTACAATTGATGTGTATATGATCATGGTCAAATGTAAGTCATTCCTGTCATATAATAGACAAATTACTTTGACTAGGAAGAGAAGCTTGTTTGTTCATTTTAAATACTGTATTCAACTTTCTAAATATGTCTATCATTTGACCAGAGTTACAATTTATATTGCAGGCTTTCTGACATCATCCTGTCTTCTGCTTCTGTACAAATTATAGGTGGACTAATCTTATTCACATGCTTGCACCATCTCTATATACAATGCTACAAAACTGAAGGCTAAAATGCCTCTTATGAACAGTTAGTTATTCATTCATAAGCCAAGCCCATTGTTGACGTTTGTTTTTTTTCAAAAGTAGCTGGAAAAAGGAAATCATTGATTATCCAGTTGCAAAGATATATGTATAGTAATGCAAATCTTGGATTGGGAATAGAGGACCCAGGTTTAAGCCCCTATTGAAATACAGTATTCATATTGTTCATTGGCCTCTCTGTTATCTCTCAGCCTCACAAAATTGTTGCTGTAAGTATAAAACCATCCTTGAGGATCCAGAGGAAAAATGGGTTGATAAATATAATTTTAAAAAATAATATTCAGTACTTGTTATTATCTATAATAAGAGAAATAAGAAATCCACTTCTCTAGAAGGAAATGTGAAATAAGCCAAAACATGAAAAGTGATTATACACATCACTGTAGCATTCTTTTCTCCAGAGACCATTGACTGAATTCTAAAACAGGGAGCCCCTCAAGAAACAATTGTAAATTATGATCTCTACTGTATTTTTTCAGCAACTGAGTCTTATCCTTAATCTCCACATCCTTCTGTAGTTCATTATTTTCTGTTTCACGCAAAAAGTCTATAAGGGTTTCCAGTCAGCAATAAACATAGATACTGTTTTTTTCTCTGATCAAAGAAGTCAATTTAGCCATCTCAGCAAGTTCCATCATCTTCACCAACCTTTCTACCATTGTGGGTAATGCTGAATCTTTCCATCTTTGTGAATACAATAATCTCGCTGCAATTATCATGTACAAAAACAAAGTTCCATAACTTTTTTCCAACTGTTTGTTCATCAGTCCCAAAAGAAAAACCTGTGGTCTCAACTGTATATTAATCTTTAAAATCTTCTGAGTCAGTGTATTGTATTTGAATCCAGAGTTTTCTAGCTTTTTTACATGTCCTCCAAACATGATAAAATGTTCCTTCTTGTTGTTCACATTTCCAACATAAATTGTCTTTATACATTCTAGATTATTTCTAGACATAACAATGGTACATCATTTTATAAACATTCTCTTTAAATTTGTAACAGTGTAAATTTCAATCCTTTCAGCCACATATTTTCCCATTGTTCCATCAGCATATTATAACCAAAATATTTAGCCCACTTTATCATACATTCTTTCACTTGTTCTTCTTCTGTTTCAATTTTCAATCAAAGCTTATACATTTTAGCAATTACATGTTCATCATTTGTACACAATTCTATTTCAAACTCAGCCTTACAATGTTCAAAGCCATAAATTCTTTTGTCTACTTTAAATCTTTCTAATAATTTTAAGTAAGAGAACCATTGACAACTATATTCCTCTGCCACCAGTTCTTCTCTTGATTTTATTTTACATTCCCCTTGACAAAATCCTAGTATCTCATGATAAGTTAGCCATTTGTGTTTGCCTATTATTTCTCGTGTATAATGCTTCTTGTGCTGCGATCCACAAAGGTGTTTTCGGGGACAACCTGGATTTGTGTCTATTCCATATTCTCAATGTGGCATGTCTAACATATTTTTTGAAATCCACATTAACCTTGACTTTATAATACCACAAATATCCATGCCACCCAAATCTCAGGTCATGTTCTTCTAACTCCAAAAGCCTTCTATTTCTCAGCAGCACCCACTCTTGTGAGTTCAGTGTCTTTTAAAGCCATCCAGAGCACAAGTGAGCAATCTCCCATCCTCTTCTTATCCGGAGAGTTTCCCTGGGATTAGTCTACTCACCGGTCCTTCGGTGTTGGCCCAGTCATCATTTCCACTCATTCAGAGACATCTTAGCTCACCATTCCTGACCTGGGAGCTCCCATTTTATCTTCTTTTATTGGGACTGCCTCTCTAGTATGATTGCCTCTCTAGTACACCTACTATCTCTTGCTGAAGGAAAAAAAAAAAAGGCCAACCACTAACTTTCTGTATATCTTTGCTGCCACTTAGTGGTTTCCAAAGTTGTTGTAGCCTGAGATGATGTTGATGGTGGCGGTGGCAGTGGTGGCAGCGGTGATGATGATGATGATGATGATGATGATGATGGAGATGGAGGAGGAGGAGGAGGAGGAGGAGGAGGAGGAGGAGGAGGATTTAGATTTACTATGGCCACAGCTTACAAATTCTAAAGAAACAATAAAAATAGTTAAAAACATAAAAACAACACAGGCATCCCAGACAAAAAAAGCCGTAATAGTAACAACAACAGAGGCCCCACAAACACATTAACCCCAGGCCTGGAACCAGAGCCAGGTCTTAAGGGCTTTCTAGAACCCAAAGAGAGCAGGCATCATCCATATCTCTGGGGGGCTGCTGTTCCAGAGGGTAGGGGCCATGACAAAGAAGGCACGCTTCCTCAGTCCCACATTTAACATTTAATACAGACATTTCAGATCTTATTGGAGAGGTAGAAATTAACGCTAGCATCTCTCTGAGCAGAAGCTGTGATTCCAGGAGGACCCCGTCCTTAATGAACACCAGAAGATCTATTTCTTCTCCCTGATTTGCTCTGCCCTGTTTCCTACCCCATCCTGAGGTGGGAAAAGACTAGGATTAATCCAACTCTTCAAGACATTCCGGTTATTCCTGGAATTCATGAAGGGGAATCTAAACATTCAGCTTTCCACAAGGGCTCTGAAATATGCAGTCAGATTTTCATTCAACACTTGGAATTTTGTTATATACAGTACTTGTAATGATTGTTTCAGAATCAATCTTATGCTCCAGAATTTAAAGTCTTTCCTGTAATTTACCCATTTCCTAGCAAATGCTTCTGCACTTTGAAGTTATTTTATGGCCATTTTCCCCATATCTATATGTTCATGTTGTTCCTGTGGTCACTTTCAGGTTGGATGATTGATGCAGAAAGTCGTCCTAAATTTCGGGAGCTAATAGCAGAATTCTCCAAAATGGCTCGGGATCCACAGCGCTATCTTGTTATACAGGTACTGATCATAAATAATGTGGTATTCACTTTTTCAAGCAAAACTATATAATTTGCTCCAAATTTAAGTGGCCAAGTGGTATAAAACTGCTTTGAGATTCTTTTATTTTAAAAAGGTCCATAAAAACCACTGTAAAATAATAGCCATGTCTAAGGCTAAAAGCAAAGATATGAATGCCTCAATTTCATATTAAACAATATTTTGTATTAAATACAATTGAACTGATTCTGACTATATAAATCAGTACTTTGTAATCCCAATTTAAACTTGAAGTTGATATAAAAAGCTGAATACGAATGGTCAGACTCTTGGGTCACAGATTAACTGATCCAGATCTGTAATAAATACAAAGAAAATTACAATTTCAGATTTATGGAAAAGGAGTTTTATTTTAAAGCTAAGAGTGAGAGAAAAATATTCCATTTTAACCTGTTTTCACATAGAGAGAGATGTTGCAGTTTTGCATATTATGCCCTGACTATGCCTGAGTAAATCTCCCTAAGAAGTCATGTCTTACTGTTAAGCTCCACTCAATTTCCTGTAGAATTTGATTATCAAAGAAATAAGACAAAAAACAACTTCTAACTAGGGCTATCACCAAGCTGCATTCAGGATTTTCTGCTCTGAAGAATGTATATGCAAGCAAAACATCCAAAGTGGCTTCCACATCTTCTATGGAGTAATTGTCTGCGGGTCTTCCTTCTTGGAGACAATTGTTGGTCACCATGGAAGTAAAATGCTGGATAAAGTACATTTTGAATCCAAGAGAGTTTTTTTTTTTAATGTATTTAGAGTCATTTATCTCCCAAGAATAGAGAACCATTGTTCATCTCAGTCTGAATGTATATTGTACAGGTCTGTTATTGTTGGCTGATTAATATTTTTTGATAGTAATATTTTAACACTCAGGTTGCAGTGAGACTTACTGTAATAATGGTGCACTTAGGAAACATTCATTCTCATTGGAATTTGTCTCTGGGTAGGGAGATGAAAGAATGCACCTGCCCAGCCCAACTGATTCCAAATTTTACCGGAGTCTAATGGAAGAGGAGGACATGGAGGACATTGTGGATGCAGATGAATATCTTATTCCCCATCAAGGATTCTTCAGCAGCCCATCAAACTCAAGAACACCTCTCTTAAGCTCATTGGTATGGGATTGTTTCTAAAGTACCAATAGAAGAGAATGTCTACATTTTCTAAGTTCTAAATGTTTCTAAAGTTCTTTTTGCATTAATATACTCTGTGCAGGTAGGCAACTAATCTGTTGCATCAAAATCAACAAAGAATCTCATAACATATTTTAAGAAACATCACATTTTATTGTAATATCAGGTTTTTTGAGCCAGGTTTTATGCCACAGTAAACTTTAATCTTTAAGGCAGCCTTCCCCAATTTGGATTTGGATATATGGACTTCAGTTGCTCAAATGTTGGAGGTTGCTCCAGATTGTTGCATTTTTTCTCATGTTTACTATGAAATGATTTAGTATTTTTTACTTGTTAAAAAAAACTTTTTTCCTCTTTTTTTTTTTTTAGAGTGCTACAAGCAATAATTCTGCAATAACCTGCATAGATAGAAATGGGGTAAGTTTGATCAATTCAGAGCCATGGCAGGAACTTCTGAATTGTTTCACTGTAATTTTTTGCCATCCATTAGAACATAAAGAAACCCCTTCCTGCAAGCCATTCAAGTTTGGAATTAGAGTACCCATTTTTTCTGCCAACAATGGTGTGCTGTATCTTGTTAATCTGTACTTTGCTATAATTAGCAGGGCCATCCAGTGAGAGAAGACAGCTTTGTCCAGAGGTACAGTTCAGATCCAACTGGGGGTTTCCTAGATGACAGTCTGGATGATAGCTTTCTGCCTGCTCCAGGTGAGTATACAGAGTCTATGGAACCTTTATGTTTCTCTCTGACAAGCAGATTAATCACAAGAGGAATAAGTCTCTGAATTTGAGCCTGTGGAATGAAACAAAGCACCATCTGAAATCAGACAGTCAGTCCTTTATTACATCAATGACCAGAATTCCACTTAAAAGAAAGTTGAAATTAACAAAAGATAAGATAAAAACGATCAACAATAACCAAATAATCAAATCTGATTGGTCACAATGGGTTTTACAAACACTAAAACAAAATTTGGCCATGTTCAAAGAGAGGGAATCATATGAGTTGGCTAACAACTGTGCATAAAATAAAGCCAGATGACCCAGAAATTTAATTAATAAGAGGGATATAAAACATAGCCATGCATTTTTATAAAATGGGAAATGCAACTATACATGGATTATATTTTCAACTGTTCCTTCACCACGAGGACAGAGTCTTAAAAAATAAGGGATTTTCTGTCAAGGATGGTTGTTGAAAGTACATTAAAATGTGCTAGGGTTAATGGTCTCCTAAATGTAGGGGTGATATTTGGTTTAAATATCTTGCTAAAATAGTGAGTAAAACTGGCTACTCAAAAAAATATCTCTAGGGAGGGCCAATAAATCTAATTGCCTTCCTACTTCTATAATACTTTGTTTAAGGCTTGACAATGACTGCTTACATCTTTGGTAATACATCCTGTAAAAAGCATAATTCTGCAGTAATTTATCATCTTTAAATCAATTCAAAATTATCAGCCAAAATCAGGGAAGTTAGGTCCATAGGGGAAAAAAATGAAACAGTAGTTTCAGTCAGAAGTAAAATATATATAGCCATATGCTGGTTTCCACTTTAATCATACCAGCTTCATGGGCAATCACATTAGGCACACTTCATGCCACATGGAAAATAATCCTTAGAAAATTAGTTTGTAGTTTCTCTAAGGGGGCAAAAGAGCTAAATGGGCCTAAAGTGAGAATTAAATAATTCCTGGACACAAACTTTTGCTGCAAATACTTTTACAGCAGCTGGTATAAATAATGTCTCTCTAGAATAATAAAAATAGCAGAGGTATTGCCAACTCTGGGGCATTTTGAAGAATATAATTTTACACTTACCAAATGAGTGAAATGTTATCCCCAAATATTTAAAATTTTTAATTTGTTCAGTCAGGTTCAATTGCTAAGTACAGTGGTACCTCTAGTTACAAATGCCCCTACTGACTAATTTTTCGAGATACGATCAGCTCCGGCCCCAAAAAATTACCTCGACTTGCGAACTTGCCTCGACTTACGAACCGGATCCGTGGCCATTTTCTGCCCATTCCACGTGGTCCGCAACCATTTTCTGCCCGTGCCACGTGGTCTGTGGCCATTTTCCGCCCGTGCCACGTGGTCCGTGGCCATTTTTCCACCCGTGCCGCATGGTCCGCGACCATTTTCCGCCTGTTCCACGTGGTCCGCGGCCATTTTCTGCCCGTGCCACGTGGTCCGCGGCCATTTTTCCGCCCGTTCCACGTGGTCTGCGGCCATTTTTCCGCCCGTTCCATGTGGTCCGTGGGCATTTTTCCGCCCTGCCGCGTGGTCCGCGGCCGTTTTTCCACCCCTGACGCATGGTCCACGGACGCCGGAACGGATTAATGGTAATTTCATTGAACCTTATGGGAAAATTTGCCTCGTGTTGCGACCAATTCACGTTGCAACCAGAGTCACAGAACGGATTAAATTCGTAACTCGAGGTTCCACTGTATAGAATGTAGGGTTTGCCAAATACAAAATCTTAGTTTTGGAATAATTTATCTCCAGTGCTTCTTCTGTACAATACTCAGTCAAAGTATGCAAAGCTTGTTTTAAACCAGTTAAGGTGTATAATAACAGTACTACTACTTTCTCTGCATACAAAAGGACCTCAGTGTGTTATAAGCCTGTTTTGGAGGATGGTATGTGAGGTAGTTTAACTTACTCACAAAATAATTGATATGTAGGTCAAATAGCAAGGATGACAGGACATAGCCCTGCCTAATTTGGATAGGAATTTCTCTGGGGTAATGTCACTTCATACTGCATCAGATTTTTAACCTAGAATTTTCATAAAGTTTTGCACATTTTTTTTTTTTTTGCACAAGCAAAAATTCTGCAATTGAATTTTTAAGTCTGTACCACATTCTAGATCTAGAAATAAAATCAAATCCAAACCTAAAATCAATAAGGGCAGCATGCATTAAAATATGATTTTAAGAAAAGAATAAGAAAGTAATATATTTCTTAAATATATCTCTATCTTGGGCCCGATACTGTTAAGCTGAGACCAGATAGATATAGGTGGAGTATAGACAATAATAAAGAGACACGGCTAAATTTGAAGGAAGCTGCTATTGCATAGTGTTCCAAGGAATCTGAGTAATCTTAACATAGACATCTAAAACCAGCTGAACGTTACCTTCTGACCAGAACGATCACCTACAGTCAGCACCATTATGTTATCTTTACCCCACTTCACTTCATGAACTCTTGTAACAATGTACTGTTAGCCATTATTCATGTTGTCTAGATTTGTCTTTCAATATCTTCTAGACTTTGTTTTCCCAACTGCTCTCCTGTCTTCTTGAGATCTTTACTAGTAATCCCATTCCCTCCCTTCTGATCTATAAGATGTTAACAAATTGTCCATGCTGTACCTGGATTCCATTTGTTCATAGGGAGTTTAATGTTGAAATGTGCCTGGCCTCACAAACAGTCCTTGCATAGATTAAGCTTGTACAATAAGTCCAAGTTTCATATACACATACAAGCAGAGCCACTGCAGAAACAGACTCTAGAGAAGCAGAAAAAGAATGAGAGTCCAAAGACAAACTGATCAAATCCCCAGGAAAGGTCTTTGCAACTGGGAAATATGTTGAGACCTTCTCAGAGCAATATTGTTCCAGTGACTTTACATAGACCTGCCAGGTGCAGCTGTCTCTTTGTGTCACCAAACACTGCTACACCTCCCTGACTTTGGTAGTCTCTCTTTAGATGCTAGCATTCACAAGGGCTATGCGAAGGAAGCTCCTTAAATTTTAAAGAGTGTATTAAAATTTTAATACATCTTTACCAAGAGACAAAATTAGTTTCAGGTTGTGGTGTTTGTTGATATGAACTTGATTTTTGAAATGCATAAGTTAATGTGATCTCCGTGATTGCTCTCCAGAAGGCTGTATCAATTTATGAATTGATGAGCAATGTCTTGTTAATAGAAATTAATTTGCAGTTGAATAAAGATAACATGCTGAATCATATATACAGTTATTAATGGATGTTTTGTCTTTCTAAAATCATTTCAGAATACATAAACCAAGTGACCCAAAACCCTTGTGCTTCTGTGGTACAAAATCCAGTCTACAACACTTTCTCCCTTCATATTGATCCAAAGCCTATGACTGATTCAAATCATCATAACTTGCACAACACAGCACTGGATAACCCAGAATATCTCAACACAAGCCTCTCACCTTTGGCTAACACAGTTTTTGATAGCTCCTCCTACTGGGACCAGACAGCCAACTACCAAATCAATCTGGACAATCCAGACTATCAGCAAGACTTCTTGCCCAGAGATACCAAGCCTAATGGCATTGTTAAACTTCCGCCAGCTGAAAATCCAGAATACCTAAGGGTAGCAGTGCCAAAAAATGAATACATTGAAGCCTCAGCATGACCATGATAGACACTTTGTATAGTCTCAGCAACGTGGCAAGAAACACAGATGAAAGAGCTGCTTGCTATAGAAATAGACTATGGTTAGATAAAAAAAGCATAATTACACTTTGGAATACACTTTTTTCTTCCAAGTGCATGTGTTGTTTGCAGCAAGCTTGCTTAGAACTTCATTTATCTCTGTGGTTACAAAAGATGCAACAAAGAACCAAGAAATAACAACCAGCAAGCAATATTTTTTCTTAAGCTACGTACAATTACAGCCTTTTGATGAATATTAACTGCTTTAATAAGCATCCACCTTAAATCCTTTTGATACCTTATCTTTTATAGGTCATTTGTGGTATTTTTTTTTTAAAAAGCCTTTATGACAGCAAGATGACCAGTTGTTTGATGCCATGTGGATCAGGGTGGGAGGAGCACAAGGAAAGTAGAAGGAGTCAAGACCCAAAACTTTTTGCCAGTCTCCTACATAGAGTTACCAACTGTTAAGATTTAAAGAGAAGCTCATTCCTATGCTTTGGTCCAGCTATTTGAACACCAGCTTTATTTACTATTTTATTTGCAATGAAAAGAGTATTTGAAAAAATGTGAGAATTCTGCTTAATATAGTCGTTGATTACATTGGGAGAAAGTGAGCCTAGTGGTTCATACAGCACTCACTGCCACTGACCACTACTGTTGGGAAGCTCTGCAAGTTTCAGTTCAGAAATGCTCATAAAAATTTAAAAATTAAATGTTCAGGAATGGTCATCAGGTACTCACTCGCATGTCTCTAAAATATCACTGTAAGTATGAGCAGCATTGTTGTATTTCGTTCTGTTGTGGTTTTATGCTTGTTTTCTGGTTTCATGACTTTTTAGAGGTACGAAAAATGAACTTAAAAATCTGCAAATGGAACAGATTTTTTTTTTTTTTTTTGCACACACACATTCCACTTCACTGCCTTTGTAACATTTGAACACATATATAAAGTGGTGAGGAAATGCAAAGGTTGCCATTTGGCTAAAATTGAATTATTACATACATAACTGCATACACAAAAAATGGATCTTGGGGAAATCTCTTGCAAAAGCTGGGGAAAAAAATCTATACTATGGCTCAGCTTCCATTAATCATGAATTTATACAGGAAAATTTCCCATTATCTGAAATTATTAGTGGAGAAAAAGGATTAATCCAGAAGATAATTGCAATTAATTTGTTAATTTTCAGGAATCATATGCGGTATGGTTCAGTATTTGCACTTAAAAAGATAAATTAACTCACCCTCCAAAAAATCCCACCAGCGCAGGATGGTTTTCAGGCCAACCTGGTGATTATATATATTAAATTGTTGTTCTAATACAATGCTGTATATTTCTACTCAGAACTAAGCCCAACTGAATTCAATGCAGTTGTTCCTCAAATAGGACTATATAGGATTGCAACCTAGTAGTGTGATCCAGTATATGCCTACTTTAAAATAAGACCTATTAAGTTCAGTGGGATTTATTTCTATGCAAGTATGCATAGTAGTGCAGCTTGACTTGAAGCCGAGCTCTGTTATGTACCACTTGACTCTGCTGGTATCTTACCTCTTGGGAGCTGTAGCAATGCTCTTTGATATTGTTACCCCCTCATTAGTTTGAGTTTATGACTTTGATATGTGACAGAGCCACTGTATAACAATTTCCATATAGTTCAAATAGTACTGAATGTGTCCATTAGAATGCTTGCCTTTATGACAAATGAAACGTCATTGTGCAATAGCTTTTCCTCTTTTTAGTGATCCTTTATAAACTCTGCTAGTAAAATCCATATGGAAAGTAGCCTTGGGTATAGATTCATTATGTTGGATTATGCCATTTCATATCCCAGGAAATATAAGGCAAAAATCATCATATGGTGAAGAAAAACCAATCACATACATGAATATATCCTCAGAAAGTTGGTGATGTTCTAAATAGCTCAGTGTGAAGCATCAGGTCATCATGAAGATCTACTCTTTACTATGTTGTGGACTACATTCAGAACGTGGCTCTGAATAATGGAAACTATAGACTATAGAAACTATGGACATATCTGGAAGCCCCAAATTGGAGAAGGCTAATCCAGTGCCTTATTGTGTAATTGTTTGAAATATTTTCCATGTTCATTGCATGAAAGAGACAAGATTTCCTTCCCAAACTTAAAGATGCCTGCATACATACAACACATTAAACTGAGCTGCATACAAATTTCCTGCTGTGATTTGCAGGAATTAGCCACAATTCTGTACCATCTTAATGCCCTCTGTATGCATGATATCAAGTGAACAAATTATTTTGTTTGTATAACAGGAGGTATGCAGTGCAAAGCCACCTAGGACTGCTACATGTAATTATCTTTCCTTTGAAAACTCATATTAATTCCCAAACTGAAGATCTGTGCAAATTGTGTTTATGCATGAAGCCGCCCTAAGTGACTCTTTGCATTTCTTGACAAGCATTTCATTTGGGGGATTTAGACAATAAAACAAAAAAACTATTACCTACCTCTTCAATGTCAGCTGTTGTTAACATTGCTCTAATTTTCTATGATTTATATTTCTCTGTGAGAAAATTTATTAGAAAAAGTGAGAATTGTCTTTTCTGTTTGTTCTTCTCAGCCATGTTAAATTGTGTAGCAATATTGTGATCTATATATCATGCTACCAAGGGACGGCACTGCAGATGTTAGAATCTTCAATCACTATTAAGCATGTTTCTTTCTCTTGAAGATCCATATTACTTTTTTCATATTCCATATAACATTCCACTTTTTATTTTGTTTTTCCAATCTAGCACCAGACTTTTTAAAGAAGTCTTTTTGGGAAAAAAAATTCATACAGCTATATTAAAAATACACTTCTTTTTACATAAAAAATCGGTATTTTAGAACCAAAGATATTGTCTCGTTTTCTTGTTGTAAATTCATGAATAAAAAATTAGTTATTACTGTTTTCATAGGTTCTCATTATTAATGTTAAAGAACCTTTAATTGTGGCCGGGCATAGCTAAACTCTTACTTTAAACAATGGAGTGTGATGTACCTACCTAGAACAACATCAGTCAATGAGAGGCAGAAATTGCTAATTAAAATCTCCCCCCCCCCCTTTTTAAGATAGGCTTCAATGGAAATTTCAGTATTAAAATGGATCCAGGGGAATGCTAATATGACAGCCAGTATAGTGTCGTGCTTAGGAGACTGGACTGGTACCAGGGAGACCCAGTCTACCCTTAGCCACAGAAGCTCCCTGGGTAACTTTCAGCCCAACCTAGTTCAAAGAGTTGTTTGGGGGAAAATGAGAGGAACAGAATACTCTCTATGCCATATCACTCTTTCCAAAATTAATGGGGGAAAAAAGCACTATAGCATACTGTAAGAATAAAGGGAATTGTATACTTGTCTGATGAAATTCATATAATTCTAATAGAAGAGAATATATGTAGCTTAAGGTTGAACTGTGGAGTCCTTGGTGCTCTCTGAGTTTGGCTGTTTCCTTGTAGATGTTTCATTACCCGACTAGGTAACATCAGCACTAGGCCACATCATCAGGACTGATGATGTTATACTTAGTTGGGTAGTAAAATATCTGCAAGCAAGCAAACAAGCTCAGAGAGCACCAAGGACTACGCCATTCATATAATTATTTGATTTAATTGTAATTATTTGAGAATGGGGGCATATTTCAAACAAGATTGTATTCATACACCTGCAGCTACTCATAATCTACATTGACTATATGTTTTGCACACATATTGTCACATTTCTCTTAATTTATGTATGTCTCAAAAGTTCTGGTTGAGATGCCCTATTGAAGGAATAATCTTTGTTCCACACACATATATGTGTACCCCTACTTTTCAAGCAATCTATTTTTTTAAAGCTACAGCAACTAAGTTGAAATAGGTATTGTTGTTGTTGTTTAGTCGTTAAGTCGTGTCCGACTCTTCGTGACCCCATGAACCATATTGCGCCAGAAATAGGTACGGGGAATGTATATAAAACTGCCTAAGATCGTCCAAACTTTATTAGGATAAAAAACGAAGATTTTTGCAAATGCAATTTCATTGTAACATGTACAGTTTATCAAGGCATATTAATACTTCCCCTCTGTATAGTAAATTGAAAGAATGTGTGCCTGTCAGTAATAGGCATGTAATTTTATTGTGACAAAATAATGAAATGTATGCATTAGCATCAAATATTTAGTATGAATTAGACTGTCCCTTAGCTAAAAAAAAAAAAAAAATCATTCTGAAAATGATCAGGAAAATATTTCCATCTGCTCCCGTGACCCAAGGCCTCATGAGCTTTTCATGACATGCAAAGATGCCCATCTGGATCACAGCCTGCCTACAGCCTACAACCCAAGAAATGCCTGCTTCTTCTTTTTCACCACCTTAGCTAAAAGGAGAGACCTAACTTTCATTCCATTCCATCCAAAAGTCTGTGAATTGATTTAATGTGAACAATATATATTCAAAGTAACACACTATTTAGAAAAAGAAATAAAAACTTCTGTGGCCAGATTCTGAGGGAAATCTGCGTACAACATGTGAGTGCATATGTGAGTAGATATCTGCTGCGTAAGGATTTAATTTACTAGCTGAGAATGGGGTGCATATTCTGACCCAGAGCTCATAAGTGTTTCACCAGGAATTAGAATCTGAATTCAGAAAGATCCTGTGGAGTTACTGTGAGATCACTGAAATGCATTAGTTTTATGTAGAGAAAATTAAAATAGGTCTATAAACTATTTGTAGTGTTTGTTTAGCTTTCAAACCACTGAACACCATTTCTGTCCCAAATGGTGATTACACAGGAATAGTAAAATCAGTAGCTTGAGCATTGTAAATACAGTCATTTATGAAAGCAGTTTGTACACCAGTTGAGGAGTTGTAAGCCTATTGACTGGAGCAGTAGACCAACTAAGAAATAACACTAATAAATAAATAAATGCCACATTTTATATTGCTGAAATGTTTTAGTGGTTATTAAAAATATGTGTATATCAAGTGATGAAAAAGATGTGTATAATTCTTTTCCATCTTTTAATATGTGGAAGATATTGTAATATAGCTTATTACGTTTTGTTGCATTGTAAAGGAAAGCCTTCCAGCATTATTTACACTGAAAGGTATGCTTCTGTTTATTTGTTTTTTAACTTGATACTTGAAATTATGCCAACATGTAGAATGATCCAGAAATTATTATTTTTGCCCCAAAGTATAGTCATATAGAGTCATATTCCAGCAAAATTAATGGAAATTGCTCCTAAAAATTTTTTGGGTAAAAATAGTTGTAATAACAGTTATTTATAGCATCAGTTTACTTTTAAGATCTTTATTCCTATTGCCCTATCCAGTGAACATCAATAACCATGTAACCAAGGTGTGAAATTCATTTGTGGCACCTTGGAGAGATTTTCAGTTCCACTGTGTTACTTCTGAATGCATTGATATTCCAAGTATTTCAAAAGCTGCTTAATGGCTTATCTCCACAGTGCTGAAAATATAATAAATCTGAGATATCTTCAGGAATGAATTAAAATCTGAGATCATTTAAAGCAAGAGAGACAGAGAGAGACCTTATCTATGCAGCAGAATTCCACTATTTGGCATTATAGATTTGTCTCTCTCCAAATAATCCTGTTTGGTAAAATGCTAGGCATTGTCTGGTTTGATTCTTCATGGTACCACAATTCCCAAATGTCCAGAGAAAGAATTAATGGGCTCTTTTTCTATATGTTCTGTATTGTAAATGTAAATGTAAATGTAAATTTTCTTCATAATCTGAATGAGCAGGGAAAGATGCTGAGTTTGGGGGAGAGAGAGAGAAAGAGAGAGAGAGACTACTGTACAGGGCAGAGGAAGTAGAAATAGCTTTATGAAATGAAGGTGGTGTCTTGGTAATTCCCTATTATATTAAACCTAAAGAAATGTATTTTCTAAAACCTTTCGAAAGAAGCACTTTGTACAAAAGAAATGGCCACTTTAATATTTTATGTTTTTTTCTTATAGTCCATTCTTCTGAAAGTGGCAGTGGCATAAGCTACCAAGATTTTTTTTTTTACAGTAATGCGAAATACAGTGTAGTCTTAAATTTCACATTCCTTGTTTTCAAAAATGACTGTAATTTGTTTTTGAAGCATGGTTGTTTTTAACTTAATAAAGCCTATGAAACAACCCTCTTTCTGCTTGTTGTTATTTCAAGATTCGGGTATAGACAATCACCTTTTTGGGGGGTGGTCAGATAGCCATGTTTGCAGGAGTAGAAAACCGACACTGGGGACACCATGCTGACAGCTACTATAAATTACGTGACAGTAAAAAACTCAGAATCAGGATTCATTATTTTTAGGCACATAGAAAAGATTCTGGTCATCTTTGTTCTGCTTCCAGAAAGAAGAATTTACTGTGCTTTAAAAGCAGCTTACAAATAACTAAAACCTGCTAGTTAATATTGGAGTGAATGAATGGATGAATAGATGGATTTTACTTCTGAACTTTGGGGGGGGGGGTTCATAAAATAAAATGTTACATTGAACAATTGCAGGAATATCTTGTAAATTGCCACAAGGTAAGACACAACAAATCAATGAAATACTTGTTTATACTTCATTTTGATCAACATTTATATGCCACCTACTCTTCAGTATAAACTGTGGGTGTTGCATGTATATGTATGTGTATGTATATCTGTGGGTGTGGGTGTGTGTTTATATACTGTGTGTATGTATGTGTGTGTGTATATATATACACATACATACATACATACATACATACATACATACATACATACTATAAAACTTAATTTAACAGGCCACTTCAGCAGAGGGAATTCTTTGTTGAATCTAAATGTATGTATTTTATATTACCTAACAACATTTTTGTAATTAAATATTTGAAGTAGATAGCATGTGCAGTGAACCTCTGATTCAATGGGCAAATCCTCAATTTAACAGTCCATTAAATGGAGGTCTAAAAATTTGTTCGTTGTTCATTGATAATTATGGTTTTTCATTTTTCTACTGATGTTAATAATCTCAGCACAAAACTACAGGATCAGAAATATCATCCTGTATAGCCCTAGTGAAGCTCTAGGACTTTTGACTGTATGTTCAAACGTGTAACTGGCATTATTAGGAAGATATAATCATGCCCTCCTATACTGAGTATGAACCATTTTGTTTCATTCTTTTGGTTTTATTTTTATTCTGTTAGACTGTACTGCTCATAATAAGAAAGCACTTTAGGAACAGAAAACTTAAGTACACATGAAATCCTAGGTGGCCCATTAAATTCACTGAACCTACTCCCAAGTAAGTATCAAATGAGTCCAAAGCTTCATGTAACTTAATCAACTTTCAATAGCCCCATTGGAAAGGGCAGAATAAAGTCTGGATCAATTCTATGTATTTCTGACATTATCTAACCTTCAGATTCCTTCCAGCTCTGCAGTTTCATGATATGATTACTTAAACAGCTTCCAGAGCAGTATTGTTGAACAGCTGCTTTTGTTTTATTTACTCAACTTTCTTTCAGCCCTCGGGTCTCAGTATATCTGAAGCATTTGTACAAACCAAATAATGTGCAAAGTAAGAATAATGGGTGTCACAAAGTTGTCAGTCAATGATTTGTTATGAGTGAGTGGATGAGTGACAGATTTTGTTTCAAACATTCAATTTCCTTAGTTGCCAGTTTGTCTAGTGCATTTTTAATGAATCCTGTTTAAAAAAAGAAAAAAAAAGTTACAATCTGTGGTCTGCTGGGCCCAGTTCAGGAAAAGGGATATATGTCCGGGCTTAGTTCTGGAAAAGCATGTATTGCCACAAATACATTATCCTCATATTTATTCTTTTGTTTGATTGTTTGTTTAGTAAATCAATCTGTATAGATACCCAATCAGACATGACTCAGAGCAGCATAAAGATAAAAAACAAAACAATAGCTAAAA